TCCGTTCATCTTAATGCATTGGGGGCCTCTATGCGGCGCCCGTGAGTTCATATCCATTTACACGAGTCTATACGGAACACAACAAGCAACATTGCATTAACACATACCATAGGAATCAACGTCAACACGGTCCACTTACCTGCTTCTCCATTGCAGACAACCGCGTATGCGAGCTCGCAGTCTTCTCTTCTTTTTGACTGTAGGTTGCTTATGATCTGTACAATAGGCAAAGTTACAGTAAGCAGGGAGCAGCAGGCACCTTCATTATACACCACAGTACCTGTTCTCAAAAGACTCACGGCCCATCAACGCGGCGTCTCCCTTAACAGCACGTTTATTAGTCCGCTCTGTTGGGCTCTCCAATTCGCCGGCTTGTTGCTTGTCTTGTTCTTCGCGTCTCGTTCCCTCTCCCCTCCGCCTGGTTGTTCTTGTTGTTCTTGGCCGTCCGCTGGGGAGTCAGCCCTCACGAGCACAATCCCTCCACTGATTCTTTGTGAACGCTCCTATTTAGGCCCCGATATAGGTGCACCGAGCCCTATCGGATGCCCGGTTTACAAATCGGGCCCCTCCGATATGAGGAGCTAAAACGGGCGGCAAAAAGGCTGAAAACCACAATAATGGTGACAATACATAAAACCGCTCGTCAGAAATTCGCTCCAACGTAGAGCTTCTACGTGTTTGAGTCAGCATTTTGCCAATGTCCACGTTTTCTCCGCTAACTTTCCTACACACAAAGTCCAACTTGGACTCCAAGATACTGCAACGTTTCTACGACAACCATCAAAAGATGCTACTGCGTCTAATGCCGACGTTACAAAATTCGAGTTTCTCTCAGAATACTACATGTGCAGCTGCATTATCATTTCGTGAAAATCTTGAGAAAAATTGTTCGTTATTAATACAAGTAGTAAATGACAGAACATGCCAAACACGTGCATTTACTACAGCAAATCATTTGACTTGACTTTTGTAAAAAAAATGACCTTCTGACTGTCGCAATAAGACATAATCGACGATTAGAGGTCATAGGCGCATTCGCTTGGCCCGC